ATCCAATCTCCATTGGATTCTTCCAGTAAAAACCTTCTTCTCTTTCTTATGAGCCATGCTTGGGAGTCTGGTGGCGAACATTTGCCCCCCAACTTGAGAAAAGAAAGCAAGAGAAATGCCTTTAACCCCCCCCCCCAAAGCATTATTTTGCCATTCAGATATTTTAAACACAGAGAGAAAATGCGATGTGCAGTGGAATTAACGTATTGCCCCAGGCGTTGGGCACTGAAATGCCATGCTAAAGGAAGATCTTACAAGGAGAGAGAAAAAAAATTAAAGGACACAAATCTTCATGATTCACGCAGCTCCGAGCTGATGACAATGAAAAAGTTGGGTGATTAAAATAATTGGGGCCAGCAGAATTCGGAGATGGGATAATTATGAATTAATGAAGGCCAAGGGGAGGGATTTGAAGGCGTATAAAAGTACCTGGACCCTTTGCAATTCTCAAACAGCTTCAGTTCTCACCTTCCAAGGCTCCAGAGAAACAGGTAAGCTTGTCTCCGGGCGCAACGCGAACTAAGCTTGACTGAAATGTATTTGCATTTGAGGAACAGACGGTTTTCTTATTTTTTCACGGAGGGTTTCGGCTCCCCGGGTTTTAGGAGGGCCTTTGCAATTCTGGAAATCTTGGAGCAGGGCTGTCTAAGTCGGGATGCTCAGCACAGGATGGGAATGTAAAGATTGTCATATTTTTTCCCTTCATTTGTTTCCCCGCAATGATAAAAGGGGGGAAATCCACCCCTACCCCGAACTCTGCACGTGACTGTATCTGCTTTGGCCCAACAGCTAAATGCAAGAACCCAGAAAGGAAAATGTGGGTAGGAAAAAAGGATGTGAAATGTAGTATATGGGAAGCGCCCGACAAAATGTTGAGAAATATTTGGGTGAATATTTTCAGCTTGCTTTGCAAAGAGAAGGATTGCTTACATCTTCTGTTAGAAAAGGAAATGGGGGGGGGGGGCCTTCCCAGAACGATCCCAAAAAACTGGCTTTAGATTGTCCTGGATCACATCTGTGGCATGAAAGGAGGATGTGACACAACACTTGGAGGGGAACCTGATTCACGGTAGGGCATTTTGCTTGGGGCTCCCTCCTGGCCCACTAACGTTCCAGAGTACGGGCTCTGAGTGTGTCCATCAAGTGTGCACAAAGGTGCAAATAATCAGGAAGGGACCCCAAGGAGAAGTGAAGAAGCAGAGGGCAAGGAGGGTGGATGTGGGGACTGGATTGGCCAAGAGATCTGTGGATGGCAATCCTGCTGGTATGCAATATAACCATGGTTGTCCTCTTTCAGTTCATCTCCACCACTCCACCACCATGGCTTTCTGTGGACCACCCTGCCCCCTCCCACCCTGCGCCATCCCATCCTGCGCCTCCAGCCCATCAGTTGGATTCGGACCTGGTGGTTTGGGGGGACTGGCCTCCAGAAGCTTTGGTCTCCCCTCCGGTCAGCCTGCAAGCAGCCTGGGCACCCTGGAAAGCGTGACCCCTTCCTGCATCAACCAGATCCCAGCAGCTGCGGTGGTGAGCCA